GGATCGCTTGAGCCCAGGAGTTTGAGGTTGCTGTGAGCTAGGCTGATGCCACGGCACTCTACTCTGGGCAAGAGTGAGACTGTCTCAAAAAAAAAAAAACAAGACCACACAGAACCCATAAATACAGTTCCCATAAACCAGAGTAAATATGGACCGCAGGTGGCGATGGTGTTTTAGCACTTTGTTGGTACCAGTTCGCCATCACATTGGGGCATACGTACCATATGATTCCAGGTCACTTAACCTTCCTTGCTGCTACCTCCGGGGTGATCCCCACTATCTCTGACCACTAAAGGAGGTCCGATGCTCCCACTAAAGCAGCTTCCCAGCGGGAACTCCCATGACCGCAGGAATGCACAGGTGCAAGGGACCAGGAGTGGTGCAGAATGGAGCTTCTCCCTCAAGGGTCTCTACAATGTGAGCAACTCGGAGCTTGTTGCTAAGAGGGAAAAGCAGGTGCAGAACATTGTATGCCATCTTTTTTTTTTTTTTGAGACAGAGGTCTCGCTATGCTGCCCAGGCTGGTCTTGGACCTGAGTGTTGGGACTACAGGTGTGAGCCATTGTGCCCAGCCTATGCCATCTTTGAGCAAGGGAAAGAAACTGAATATTCGTATTTGCTTGCTCTTGCACTGAAGAAACACTGGGAAGATGAGTAAGTAGCAGTAACTGAGCCATAGCAGAGGGTGGGTGAGGAGTGTCTCTGAGCTTTTGTACACTTAATGACAAAGGAGTCCTTGCATCGCCCTGGGAACCCCGGTCACACGCACACTGCCCTGCACCTCAGGCAAGCTCGTAGCAGGCAGACTGCACCCTTCCCCGGGGGAGCTGCCGGGACACTGCCGTCTGGGGCAGCCTGCCCTGTGTGAGCGTCGTTCCTCCATTCCATCTGTGCCACCTTCGCTAATCTGACTTGGGCCAACCACTCCCAACTTGCCTTGTTTGTTCAGCACTTGAGGGGCTTCAGGGACCCACCCTGCTTCCCACGGTCCCCTCATCTGTAGAATGAGACGTGTTCAGAGGGCCACCGTGAGCATGGGGTGACAGAGCCGCCTTGAAAGCCATCACGTGCCGGCCCTAGGAGTGGGATCCTCTTCTTCCCAATGCCCACTTCCACCCAGTGGGCTCCTGCACCTGGTGTCACCCACCCGAGCTCTTCACCTACTCAAGAGGGACAGCACGTGGCCTTCCCAACACCCAGGGCTCTACACCACAAGAGCTCAATTGTAATTGCAGCTAAATGCTTGCAGGGGCAGGGAAGCCGCTTCAGTGGGGGCCAGCCCTGGCCGTCTGGCAAGCGTGTGGAGTGCCCAGCCCACCCTGTCACCTGGCGGGCTCCTCCTCAGGGATGACGGGTCTGACTCCACAGGTTTGTCACCATTACATCCTCACAGTTCACTCCGTTCATCTTTACAGCATTGAAGATTTGCAACGTGTATCTTGGATTATTTCTTGCCTCTCCCAAGGGTATGGACTCATTGTGCCAGGGACCCATGTTGGTTTATTTACCACTCTTGTGTCACGGTCCTGAAAGACACACCATGCAAGCTGAGGTGGGTTTTTCCCCAAAGGAATGCTTTATTGACAGGTTACCCATTATTCGCTTTAAGAAGATACATCATTTCCCGCCCCTGCAGCCTGCCTTCTCACCGCGCCCCGCCATACCAAGCAGCTCTCCTCCCTGGCCCCTGCACTGTCGTGTGTGGAGTGTCCGAGATGGCCTGGGACACTGGTTATCGGAGGACACCTCGAGCCCAGCATCCCTTCCCCTCCAGGAAGTGCAGAGCGGGCAAGGCCTCAGTGCCCTGCTGGCAGCCACTAAGGCATGGAACCGCCCCTCCAAACCACGCCTCCTGACACACAGGGCCCTGATGGGAGAGCCTGTGGGGCGTGATAATTTAAAAACTGGGAAGAGATCATTGTAGCTCTTGAGAAAAAGTGGCAGCAGAGTCCTGGCTGATCCCAACATCCAGCCTGACCTGACCTGTGGGGTCGGTTCTGCTTGTCATTCATCCGACGTGCAGTAAACAGGCAGGCTGGAGTCAGGGACCAGTGGGCCGGGCCCCGCCGAGGCAGCACTGTGATGGGCGCACATTTCGCCTGAAGACAGAGGCTTTTTCCACTCTCCCCCCTCCCATCCCCAGGGGCCTGGGAGCCCTTTAGGGCCGAGCTGGGAGCCAGTGGGAGCTGCCGCAGTCCTGGAGAGAAGCAGGTTCTATGCACTGGGACGGAGTGTGCTAGTGAAATAAAACACACCATTGGGCAGGAAGGCTGCCACGTGCGCTGGACATAAAATTCCACACAGTGCTCACAACCCATTAAAGAACCCACATTTTTATATATAAAAAACCATAAACAAAGCATAAGGCAATGTAAGGCTTGTATTTCAGCTTGAGTCCAAAGAAATAAAATTCTCTAACTATGAGGCTAAAGTTGTTTGCCTAATTTTAATTTTGCAAAGTCCACTGCATTTAAAAAATAATGAATTTGCTTTTATTAAAGCTAGATCATTAGTGTAACAATCAGGCAGCTGCTGTGGTAATTAATTTCCCCATTCAGCATTTTGAGATAAAAAATTTTGATCAGGCAGGGCTTCTGGGTGACTGTATTCCTTCTGTGAGTCAGGGAAGGAGGAGGTGGTCAGAAAATGCCACTTATTTCATAGAAATGACTCTTCAACCCTTCGACATTCTGATGAGCTAACAGGAGGCCCAAGGGAGCCTGGGCTTTGGCTCGATGCCCCTCCAAGTGCCCCACCCTGTCCACTTCCTGCACCCTGGGAAGGATGGCACAGTGATCTGTTTCGTCTACAAACTTTAGTGTAAAACATCTGTGTACAAGACCGTGTCCTCCAATCCACGCGAACGCACAGCCACATCTCCATGTGGACGGGCACGACTGTCCTCCAGCCGGCTCTGTCCATTCCCCTGGACGGGTCACTCCACTGCGCAGCGCAGATTTTGGCCGTGATGAGGAGGGTGTGCTCGCATGTGTTCTGTGGCTGGGCGAAGCTGCTGCAGGCTTAGAAAGGCGCATGATCCGACAGGGGCTGGTCGCCATTCCCCGCTGGGGAGGGGAGGTTGTCACTGCTGTTCTCTCTGTCACCCACAACCTTAGACTACGGGAAAGAAACGATCAAGAAAGAAAAACCTGAGATAGAGCACATGGTACCTGGTAGGTCCTGGGTCCACGCTCAGTTCTCCACCTGTGTTTATGTAACGTGAACACCGCTCAGCAATGAAAAGGAACAAATCGCTGACAGGCAGCAGACTGGACAGGTCTCCAGAGAATGCTGCAGAATGAAGAGACAGCCCAAAGGCTACGTACTATAGGGCTCCACTTATGTGACATTCTTGAAATGATATAATTACAGAAACGGAGAGGAGATTAAGGGCTGCCAGGGGCAGGGCAGTGGCTACGAAGGTGCCACGAGGGGTCTTGGTGGAGGGGAAGTTCTGTGTCTTGACTGTCAGTGTCGATGTCCTGGCTGTGAGACTGCACTACGGTGTTGCGAAACGCTGTCACTGGAGGAAACTGCACAGAAGGCACAAGGGACCTCTCTGTATTGTTGAGGTTGGTGCAAAAGCAATTGCAGTGTTAGCACTGCTGACGTTTGCCATTTGATACTGGAGTACATTCTTAAATAAATGTGGTTATGTTCTACCTCATTTTAATGTGCATTTCTCACTCTGTGTTTTTTTGCTAATGA